CTGGTCTAGTTTGGAATTATTGCAGATTAAATGTTTGTGGAACCTCTTGGTTATTGTGAGGGATGACGATATCGAAAGCATCATTCATAGAATGTCCATTCAATAACCCATTACTACTGCCATAGATGAAGTAACTTAGCGCATTGTGAACGCTTTTTCACATTTTCACACAAGAGGATCAAGGATAAAAGTGATGATACTTGAAATATTTGCAAAATTTTAAATATTTCTTGACATTTTTAATTTACCTTTTTTGTGAAGTATGGATTGATAACTATTACTTAATAGCTATGAACTACTCTTTGAAATTTTCAATCAATAATTGATAATTTTCAGTACTTATTTAGTGAATATTACATCTTCAGCTTCAGATGATTTTTTTCGAAGAGAATCCTCTGTCGAGGGCGTCACATTATTGTTATCGTCGTACTGTTTAGCAATTAAACCACCTATGTTGTATGATTTCAGTAATATTGCGTTCTCGTTGCAACGTCAAATTCAATCACTAGTTTCAATGTTGTGAATCTGCATATTTTGCAATTGTTCGGGCTATACAACATATTCCGTGTTAATTGTGATAATGATATAATAATACTCACTAATAATAGTTTTTCTCTAGAAGGGGTGGGCCGAGGTCCCAAGACGTTTCTCCTCGATGTATAGGATTGTTGCTAACTCCAGTTCGTGCCTTTATCACATAGATTTATACTATTGGTGATTTACGGGATTTAAACCCTGGACCTCAAAAGCCAAAGTCTCGTGTTTTACCACTACACTAGATCATTCCCAGAATTGTGTAAACGTGAACTTTAAATGAAAACAGCTTGATGTCTGTTCCCTTTAAAACAGCAACGATCAGTTGTTTACATTTATCACGTTGTTAGCATTCAACAATGAATCTCAGATTAACATATCAAGCCCTCTTGTACCACGAGGTGTCTGTGAACATTGTAAGCTATCACCAGTCAGTAGCTATTAAGGGTGTTTGGTCGCAAATTTTCATGTCTGATTTTTTGTTATTGTTTAATTGTACTAAAAATTAGAGATACAAATATATAAGAAAAAATTTTTTATTTTGAATATTAAGCGAGATATGGAGCTTGAAAGTAGTAAATTTTTAATCTTTGGTACCAGTTCACAGGGAGAACGGGTAATGCGATTCTCACCAAAATTTGCATTCAGGTGTGTAAAAATAAGATAATAATCACTAGCTATTTAAAATTAAAATTTTTTTAAAAAATTTTATTTTTTATTTTTTATAATTTTTTTAAAAAATTGAAAAAAAAAAAATTAAAAATTTAAAAATAGCTGTTTGTTTTTGGGAAAAATGTAACTGTATGTTGAAATTTAAAAAAATGTGATATGTTAACTCGTTTGGGCTGTGAATTCGTACCTTTGATGCCTTGCGCTGTCGGAGCACTACTCGTTGAGAGTTTGTACACTAACACCGGGGCTTTAGAATACTTTAACATCACGTAATTATTAACATCCTTTAGCATTGAAACGCATTGACGTTTATCGTTGTATTCTAAAGCCCCGGTGTTAGTGTACACACTCTCAACGAGTAGTGCTCCGACAGCGCAAGGCATCAAAGGTACGAATTCACAGCCCAAACGAGTTAACATATCACATTTTTTTTTGATTCAACATACTGATACATTTTTCCCAAAAACAAACAGCTATTTTAAAATTTTTTAAAAAAATTTTTAATTTTTTAAAAAATTTATAAAAAATAAAAAATAAAATTTTTTTTTTAATTTTAAATTTTAAATAGCTAGTGATTATTATCTTATTTTTCCACACCTGAATGCAAATTTTGGTGAGAATCGCATTACCCATTCTCCCTGTGAACTGGTACCAAAGTTTAAAAATTTACTACTTTCAAGCTCCATATCTCGCTTAATATTCAAAATAAAAAATTTTTTCTTATATATTCGTATCTCTAATTTTTAGTACAATTGAACAATAACAAAAAATAAGACATCAAATTTTTGACCAAACACCCTTAAGCGTGAGAGTAGCGACGCCGGGTTCAATCCCTCGGGCAGACAATCTCGACAGCTATTACTCCTCCTATATTTAATATCCTAAGTGCTATGTAGATGTGGGCCACAGGCATTGTCTCTCTCTCTTACACACCTGTCTTTATAAACTAGATTATCCTGCGGCTGCGTAGAGCCACGCGTCGACGCGTGCCCGAGCTCTGCCGAAGTATCGCGGAGACACCCGAACCCGGCAGATGTCCGAATACGGCTCTCTCCATTCATACCCAAAAAGTGGACAAGTTTTTTACCGTGGGAAGGTGAACCCTGGGTAGCACATGTCCTGACTGCTGTGGCGAGGGTCCATCTGCCGGCGTCTTGGACAAAAAGCACAGAACTAATCACAAATCGGTGTAGAGTGTCTGCGTTTGGCATATGCCTGCATATGGCGGATAATTATCTTGTCTTGGCCCATTGGTGTTCCTATCTGAAATTGATCTGAGCCTTGTTAAATAGTAGAGGGCAGATGGAATAAAAGGTTTTGTTGGAGTTTTTACTAATGTTTTTCTCGAATAGTGAATAGTGTAGGAAAGGTTTAATAGCATGAGCGTACACTTAAAAAACTCCACCCTACAATATATACACAAGGTCATCATAAAAAAAAACACATATAAAATATATGTTGTTCTCAGTCACTAAAGAAAGTTGTTCTGGCTACTCCGGTGACAACTACATAGTATCCTAATATTTCTACGATGAGTATAAAAGATTGTGTCAGCAATTTTGTAGGTCTGATAGTATCTATAACAAAATTGTCGATGAATGGATATCAATAATTGTAATTTTTCTATAGCAACTCTGTCACGTTCTAAATTATTATTTAAACTTGAAGGTTTTAAGTTGCTTCGCCAGATTTGGAAATTTTAGTTGTGGCTAGATTATGTGCAGAAAAATTGTATTTTTAACGATTATTCTTATAAAATGTCTCAAACATTAATTAGTCAACCAAGTTAAAACATGTTAATGAGTTTCGTTTTCTTACGAGTACTAGGCCTAACATTTCAAAATGTACACGATCTTTCCAAAATTATTAGAATTTTAAATTATAAACAGTCTTTTGTATAATTTAGTAACTTTTAGTTTTTGTTTACGCCTACAATTAACTACATCCTGAAACTATCATCCTCCTCCTGCAGATTGATACATTCCGTACAGTAAAACTTCAATGGGTTCTGTTCTTACCTCTCACTTTCATTAAACACATGCTCTTCAGAAGGCTATAATAAATATTGTATAACGTGCCACTCATAGAAAACCTGTTAAGATTTTTATATTTAAATTATTTTATTTACGTGACCATTTACTGGAGAACAAATTAAAATATGCCTATTGCCCGGAGGTGAAATCAGAAATCAAACCCAAACCCTATATTTGTCTTTTGATGACTATAAAAACAACAACAACGTAATCTGCATTATCTATACAGTAGTTGTTCTACATCTGCTGGGGCTTATGAATCAAACGAAACCATTAATAATTCTTGGTATAGTATCAATAATGGGTATTAAAAACAAAATCATTACATCAAGGTCGCCAATCGCCATCCACTTTGGTTTGTTCCCACATCATCGTCCTCAGCTCTGTATCTACTGAAGGAAGGTGAATTGTTATCAGCCAAGTAGATTTAAACCATTTACTTACATGTAAACTATGATGTGTCAATTTATTTATACATTTTAAAAAGCCAATGAAAACACAGTGGCTTTTTACAATTTTTATAGCACCCATCCCCCCTCACCGTTGAACGTTGTTGGAATAGTAAAGAAGCATAATTAGATAGAGGGGATGCATGTAAAAGCTGAGGAATTGTTGTTCTTGTTGTAACATGTTCAGATCCAAGCAAGTGGTGACAGGTTTGATCAAATTGTTTAATCTGGGTAAAAAATCGTGGCAATATAGAAACAGGAAAGACTTTGTATGTTCTTAAGTTAATCACGAATTATATGGATTCAGAAAGATACATGAAGAGAAACTCCACAAATAATACCTCGTACAACCTACATAAGAATCCCCTCGACGTGAAGAGTGCCTTGATGACTAGAAGGCTTTAAATCTGATTACATTGGTAATCTAACACATTTAGTTTAATTAGTTTTAAATGGTTTACATTATCTGCCGAATATTTGGACGTGTAATTTCCGTGTATTTGCATGCTTATTGGAATAAAATCTTGGACTTTGGATACAATTGAAAGTTATTTTTATGTTCGGCATTCGTGTAGAGTGCATTTTTTTAATATCAATTTAAATATTATATAGTTTAAATCCATTAATATGGAATACCCCCTGGAATTGTTCATATAATAAAGTGCACGTTGTAAAATTCACCCAAAAATAAAAATAAAATTATTTAGTCAAGATCAAGACTTTCCAGACACATTCTCTCAGATGCACACAGTTGGATCAGTCGTGTACTTATAGTATCCAAAGTCAATGGTACAATGGTACAACCCACAACTCCTATTCGTCCAAAACCAAGCGGAGTTTATCAATTTTTATTTTTGAAGCTTTCTAATTTAATTCCTTGAATGATACAAGTCTTATTATGTTGTTGTAAATAATTGATATTTATATTTTAATATTGACGCAGCCTATCAAGCTATGCTGGTCAACAACTCAGCTTTGGTTGATATAAAGTCAATGGTATAAAGGTAATAAGATGGTAACAACTTATTATAAACTCCAAACACAAACAACCTTCCCCAACAATGATTATTCACCCCCACTCAAGTACTCATCGAGTACAGTATTAACCAATCTGTGGCCTGCCCAGTCACATTGTTGCGTGACGTCACAGTGACGCGTGCTTACTATACACTACAGGATAGGGTACCACCTGGTGTGTGCTGTGTACTGTACAACATCTGCCGAGCACTGGAGGTCTCTTGCGGCAGCTGGCGGAACTACGTAGTACTGCGAGCCGGCCGCCAGAGATGCGCTGTCAGTCAGGTCTACGACGCGCTACTGTTCGGATCGTGTACGACTAACCTCCGCTCGTAGTGCGCGATCATGGATGGCTACACGTTGGTTCTGTAAATACAGTGTGCAGTGATTTAGTTATAGTGCAGTGATGTGCTGGTGATAGTTCTGCCAATGGCTAGATGAGTGCACTGTTGATTTTATAGTGAATAACCCAAGCTTTACCATGCATTGGATATCTTCTTTGATCATCCTGGCTATCTTCAATCAAGTAAGTATTGTCGGTAGTTGGCTGTAGGAGGTTTAAACTTAATCAATTCAAAGTATATTAAATAGCTATTATGTTAGGTAGGACACCGGCTTTTTAACCTATCTCTTCTACTGTCAAAGAATTGTCTTATCAGCGAGGGTTTAGCGTTGTTATTGTCGTAATGAATGTTTCATACCAACTTTTAAATCACGTGAATTTTAAATTAGTTTGAAATTTACATTCACTCTATTATCAATTAAACAATATTCAAAACAAAATATTTACATTATCTAGAAAGCAAATTTATTACATTCTCATCTTTGAAACCTGTGTCATTCACAATCATACAATAAGTTAACCTACAAAACAATCATCGTGTCTGTTCTTTTCATAGTCATGATAAAATATCAAATTTGTCTTTGCAAGTTAAAACAATGACTTACACTTTTGTAATGATAGGTACTGTACAGCAATTGCCATAGTAACGATAAAGCAGAAGTAAAAAGCTCGTCATACTTTTTATGCCGGTGTCATTTTCCGGTATCTTCATGAAACGATGTAATTACCACTCCTACTTAGAGCATAATTATTTATATATTAATTCTACAGCATATTCATCGTAGCCTTCAATTATAGTCAACCACACACACCTTTTTACTACGATATAAAAATACACTCCCAATCTACTGTTGATTCAAAAAACCGAAATAGCCAACCTACATTCGCTCGACAATAGGCGCTACTGTTGATCGCTATTTACACTTATTGTTATTGAGTTCCCGATAGTTTTATGTGTCGACGCCTATATTTAGCGAGACGGCCGAGGCACCTGCCGCGGTCGCACGGCCTCGGAGGTTCTCACGATTTCGTTTAATGCCGCGATGCTCAGCATTAATGCAGTATGAAATGAATTGCATCCAGCTCTCGTTAAGAGTGGTTATCCAGGCTAGTTTCCGCACTCGGAAATTGTATCTCTAGTTTGATAGCTTTATTGTTTAGTCTTCGCATTTGAGACGAGCTCTTGTTGTGAAAGCGTTGAAATATACGTAGTAAATATGACGACAAACTTGAACATGTTTCATGCACATTCATAATTCTCGAACTGATGAATGAAGGTGGATTTCAAATTATTGTCCATTAGTTTAAACAACAAAGCAATGATGGCAGGCTGCTATGTTCGTAATCATTTGTAGAGAGAAAACAAACTTTAAAATTATCATATATAATACAAGTATTATTAAATATAAAGAGGGACCAACTATGCAATTAAGGTAGTAAATGATCGGTATTTAAGCGAAAGAAGGCTTCTTATCGGTATATGATTGATGAAATCTGTAATTTAGACAAATAATTGAATCCAGCATAAAATTTTTTCATCATCCTATGGTGTATATGAGTTTTTTTTTATTTTTAGCATTTTAAAACTAAGACGAAAAAAATTGTATATTTCAACTACTTATATCTATTTTTTGATGAGTTTGACATTATAATAAAGTAGGGCCTATATACGGCATAGAGTAAAAACCTAACGTGTGAAATAGTAGCCGGGTGTAATACAATAAAATCCTAATTTTGAACGCATTATTTAGATAATAAACTACACTTTGGTTATCAGTCAACAAGATAGTAAAGCAATCATAACATAATTACAACCTCAATAGCTCTATAAATTGTTTGTTATGATTTCTCCTCATAATGAATCAAATTAAAATACGATCACTTTTAATTTTATTGCATTCGCGCGGTTGGCCCAAACACCTTTTTACAATAGGCATACATAATATTATATTGTTAACATGCAACCGGCAATTTATTGTGTTTATTTTAAAATCATTAATTGATGTAAATGTTTCATCAGAACAATTTAATAGTTTCAAAATCTTAGCGTTTTTTTTTTAGTTTGATCTGGTTAAATAATTGATTTAATCCATTCAGATTTTGTTGATTTATTTAGTTTATTAACTTGACTAGGCAATGGGAATGAGCTACGTCAGTAACTTAGAGATCTAACAAACGTGTTTACAAAATATATTAGTTAATTAGATAATATTCGGATTTCAAGATCATTAATTTATTAATTCTCTATCCTTCTCAAAAACTCGACTGTAATAGTAGCCAAATATTAAATAATTACATCAAAGTACTATTATATCGCGTTCTGTCCAGTAGATGCCTACACAGTGGTAGTCTTAGTCCAGTCCTTGGACAGCTAACGTGTTTTTTAACACCTGCCCAAGTCCAGCTGGCTCCATCAGCTGCTCCCTAGTGTTGCGTTATTTTCCTGTCTTTCGTTCTTTTATCCACTTCAGTCCTTGGGCTTTTTCTAACGTTCTGGTCAAGTCCGAGTGTACAGCCGGTTATTTATTTTCACCGGGGTTAACGTTTTATGAAGGGTTGATTGTTCAATTTTGATATCTAAGCCAGGCAACTCAGGAGAATGAGTAATGATAAGTAGTAATGAGAATCGCTTTTAAACACATTTTCATCGTTAAGTTAAAGTATACTTCAGATTTCTTCAAATATATAAGAATGTATATTATACGCCCATTTACGACAGCAGGGGTTTGAATTTAATTTGTAATAATTGCAATACGTTGTTTGATTTTAATTTGTAGTTTAAGTTGTAAAATTCTTTTAATCCACAATCTATCTTGAAAAGAATATGAAACTAGCCTTTGATCGAGTAGCAGCTAGGACAATAAATAATTAATTAAGTGTCTACCGTTCTTATTCTTTACAGTAATTATTTTTAACGTGTTAGGATTAAAGACTAATCACAATTTTAAAGTTTTATTTTTGAATGATACATACAATGTTTTCTTTCGAAGACTGTAATTTATTACTGCTATTCTTTCTTTGCTACTTAAATTTATTAATCTCATGTATTGTCAAGAACGGTTTATATTCTAGACAAACATTTTCCAAGCTGTCTAAACCAATTTCACTCTCTAAACCACACAAACACTTCTAGACCGCTCGTAAATTTTGATTCACGTTTCAAGGCGTTGTTTCGTTTTCGAGTTTTGGACTCCGGATCAAAATAAATCACGCCTGGAACGCTTTGGTCTTCTGTGAGTTTTATGTTTCCATTGAACCGAAGTTATTTATGTTGCCTAGACCGATAGAAAAATACTCCGAGATTAAGTGGCTCGGTGCGCTGAAATGTTCACAGTTGTTTTTGGAATACAGTCTGTTGTTGGGGCGAGAAACAAACGATTGTTGAGCCGAACAGTTAAATATGTGAGGGTGTTTTTTTTTTTTTATAAAATGACGTCGTTGATGTTTTGCACTCGAATTTAAATACTTGTTTGCATTCTGACTTTAAAGTAACTTATGATCAGAGGATGTGTGAAACCTTTAGTAGACGTTCTAGATATTCAATGACTTTTGTTTGGATTGATAAATTATATTACGTAAACATAGTCAATTTTGACACTTAAATTGCCGTCTCCCAAACAATTGCCTGTGCAAAATCCCCTTTAAAGTATTTTATCCATTATAGCATAGATTAGATTTGTTTTCGAATACATTGAATGGATTAAGGAATGTAGTCGCCTATTCCTGTGAATGCCTTTCTCCTCTCGTCTCTCTTATTCCGTCGTGCATTTAAATATTTTCTTTTCCCTGTTTTTTAACATGTTTCGCCTTAATTTGCTGTAGTTATAATTTATTTCCTACTCTATCCTTCTTAAATTATTATTCTTTAGTATATCTTGTTCCAGCTTTTTAGACAGAAGTCCTGCACTTTGGCTGTAGTTGTGCCCTCCGTACATCCCTATGTCCTTACTCATGTCAACTTTATTTTCTACCTACCTCTAATCATACCTCTATATCTTTCTCCCTCTTTCTATGCCTGATCTTACCTTTTAGCCTACTCCTACATCCATCTAAGCATTCTCCAATACTATCTGATCTTCTACTCTCAGACCTCCTCTACTTTCCTGCCCTCTGCTTATCAGTAACTGACCCCTTGGTATGTTTCCCATCCTCTGCTTATCAGTAACTGACCCCTTGGTACGTTTCCCACCCTCTGCTTATCAGCAACTGACCCCTTGGTATGTTTCCAGGCCCAGTCGTCTGGAGTGTTCGAACTGCGGCTCAAGTCCTTCGTTAACAAGTTCGGCAAGGACAGTGTTGGCCAGTGTTGTAGTGGTGAGAGGACCGACCCTTGTGCGGGACCGTGCAGGACCAGGTTCAGGATATGCCTTAAGCACTACCAAGTCAAGATTGATACTACCTCCCCCTGCACGTTTGGTGACGTCATTACCCCAGTGCTCGGTGAAAATTCGGTTCAGTTAAGTGATACCAAGACGGAGGAGTTCAAGAACCCCATCAGGTTCAACTTTGATTTCACATGGCCGGTGAGTAGAATTTTCGGGTTCTTGTGGTGTATGGGTGTGAATGTTATCAGTGTAATATGTTCAAATCAGTAGGACCTTCAGTGGATCTATCAGAAAATATTTTAGTTTTATGGGTAAGATTTATGTAGGCCTACAGATCGATATATGAATTTACAGCGTTACACAAAATTCAAATTCCAGAAAAACCCTTATTGAGATGGTGATTAGTGTTGTTGTCGTTGGTAGTATAAGTATCTACAACTCATTTACTTCATTTACCTCAGTTATTGTGTAGTATATTGTGACAGTGATGATGAATAACATTTTTTGAGTCCAAAAGTCATTCGCATAGCTCCCACGTATCCACTCATTAGAACAAAATCAACCTCAAAGGGTCTGATTAGAATATGAAGTGTGGCTAATCTGATGAAGTCAGACGAATCAACAGCCTTCTCAAGGGTTGGGTGAAGGGATGGATTGTTTGACAGAGGGCGTAGCTCGGGTTCAGGCCATTCAGTCGGTTTTCTTCCCACACTTCCTCGACAGATGATCGGGCAAAAACTTCTGCCAGACACTTAGCCTTTGTGGGACTCAGGTAACGCGCTACAGCTGGCTTCCCAGGCGCTTCTGTAGGAAATCTGAACGTTCAGTGTAAAACTTACGATCTTACGATATCGGTGCAGGAACTGTAGATAGGTCGATGGGATTAGGGAGCAAAGTAAACAGAGGAAAGATAAGGATGTCGATGTTCTAAGACTAACCTTAATAATTTGATTGCGATCTTTTCAACTGTAAGTCTATGTGTTCAAAAACTTATAATTTACAAGTCTCAAAATGTTAAGGCATTTAAAATTTTTAAGTTTAGGTAGTTTTGCATTAAGTTTGTACTTGCTAGAGACCTACCACGGTGCTTATCAGATCAAGCCCAACAAAGTCAGTTTAAAACCATTCTACTGTAGTGCCTTTTGAATCACTTAAGGAGTCATACTTCCAAACTGTACATTGTGCGAGTTCCATTAATACAAGTCCACACATTTCAACGCACCAGCTTCCTAGCCATCAGACAATGGACCCGGAATTGCCATTCTGCAACCCCAGGCCGGGGTGCAGAAAGGCAGATGCGTCTGATGATTTTATGCGATGTTTTATCGACGACAGATGTGCACGACCAGGTCCCATTGTTGGAGCGACAGATGGCCCTACTTTGCGACTGTTGTTGTAGCCGGTGGTATCGATTATTTCACCCGGTTGTAGCCGGTGTTATCGATTGTTTGACCCGACGCATGTGGCGTGTGCCGGGCATTTTTTCACCGGCGATTTCGGCGTCGCGCCGCTCCACAAGTTATTTCTGTACGTTCGCCCCACATTCACGGTCGAGTCTGTTCCTTCTATGGGGTCTTGAGTGTTTTTGTTCGTAAACTTTGTGCAATGTGCTCGCTACATGTAGTTTACCGGTCCTAATATAAATATTAGTGTTTCAAGCCATTTAGTTTTTGTATAAACACCCAAAGTCACTCAAAACGCGTTGTGATAGAAGAATCCGGAATACGACGGTATAAAATATAGGGTATAGTGAGGAAACTTGAAGTTTTTCGTGTGCCAGTTCTTTCCTTGATAGCTTATCAACTTGTTGCATAGTTTTAACTAAAAATCAAACGATATACCGTACCTAAATATTGATAGGATACCTTCGAAATACGTTCTTAATACAACTTAACTCAAATATATTGAAGTATTAAATCCAAGATAAATGCCTTTTAAAAGCAATGTTGCGTGCCACCTGCTCGTACTTGGTACGGCTTCGATTGTGCGTGGATGAGACATGCCCAGCTCAGGAGTAGACCTAATTCTGATGGCTAATTGACCGATGGCCCAGGGGTCACGTGATCAGCCATCATGAGTGCTCTGATGGATATACAGCCGTAACGGACAAGACAATGTCTCCGATGGTGTCAACATTAACTGAATAGACCCCCGGGTAGTAGTAGCAGGGGCGATTGTAAACCAGTCACTGACGGCTTTGTCTACAGTTTTAGTTTCGGTGTTCGTCGCTCGTCCCCAGTAGCTAGTTCCTAGGAACGTTTATGCTTTCCCTTTCGACTCAGGGTAACAGGTTCACAGGTTCGTTGATGGGTTTTGTCTCGTTGTGAAGGTCCGGTTGGCGTTAAATCGTGATTTTACCGGCTACTGCTTTCTAAGGGTGCGCTATTAGTCTAAAGTAGTTAGGGTAGAGAATGTTGTGTCCAGTTATTTTAGTTCAATTTCAATTCAGTAATTTTTATTTCCTTCCGATATACTGCAAATTATTTTACACCCCGGAATAGCACATTTTCAAAAAAAGATTTGTTTATTCGTGAACCATTGAGAACTAAGTTTGTTACCACTTGACAGTAACTAAGCATTTTCTTCAGTAACTAAGCAGTAACTGTATTCCTCTAGAGTCTTGCTATCGACGTTCTATTGTGAGGCAATTTGTAATCTGACAGCAGTTGATTCAAAGTCACGCATTTAAACGTTTCGACGTTCAACTGATGCGTTATCTTCTCAAGCGAAATCAACCGCTGCATTCCTAGCGTCTGCAGGCCCTGCATACCCACGGTATCTGCAATCGCAATGTGCACAAACATAATTTATAGGTCTTTGACTGAGCATAATTGCCGCTTGTTCCCACCTGCTAGACAACCTCGTCACCCAAGGCCGGTCTATCTGGGTTAGACGAAACTTCTGCTTACAATCGCAGATGCGGTAAAATATAGGTTATGTGCGGGTCTCAGCGCGCATGCGTACTTCTTAGCACGCATGCCACCAATTATCTTCGTTCTCACGGTTCCATTGAACCTGACAGTATTGTTATTCATACCGCGGTCTTGTTATATTTCAACGTGATATTCGATGCTCGTCCTCCTCGAGTCCTTGGAGCTTTCGCAGTCGGAATTCCGAATGAGACGCAGGCGTGGGTACGGACCCTAGGCCTAGCTCACAATTAAAACCCGATAATTGTGACCCCGACCCCGTCAATTAGTGCGGTCTTCCTACGATTATGGCGTCAATCTCGCCAATGTGTGGCAATTTTCGAAATCACTAAATATCGGTTATTTCAGACCCGTGTTTCGCGGCTGACGTGTGTCGATAATTATCCGACTATTTTTTAAATACGTGCGGAACCTTTTATTATGGGTTTCGTTTCCCTTTCTCGAAAGCAGGTGTGTCGGAGTTTTTTGGATCGTTTCTTGGAGTGTAATTTTGAAATTATTTTTTATGTGGTTAGATGAATTGCATGTTTTCTCTTTATTGAGTCCTAGGTTCTAAATAAATATTAGGAATTCAGGGTGTTCGGAGAACTATTTATGATTAACTGTGGTTATATTGCATTCTTCCTTTTTAATTCGCTTTGAATAAATTCTAAGTTTTGTAAGTAGAATTTTGATTTTATTTAACTGTAGCCTCAAACCATCTGGCTTTTAGTAGAATCTAGTTTTCTTACTCTACGGCAGCTTCACAGTGTGTTACCCTTGCTCTAAGGAATCACATGGTACATGAACTGTTTACCTGACCACCAACTGAACACGTAGCGTAGTGTAGTCCAGCCAGACCGCCAGCCGCGCGAGGAGCGGGCAGTAGTCGGTGTGCCGTGGGAACGCTTGTCGTGCCCTGGGGCCCAATTAAGGCGGTGACACACTATCGATCTTTTCCCCGATCAAGACCCCGAACCGAGCAGGGAGAAGGGAGAAGGGAGATAAATATTAGCAAAATTTTACTCCGAACATTTCCCCGAACATGAATAAGACCAGACGAATTCTACCGAGCGCGGCAAAAGGAAGTTTGGAGAGAGATAGAGAGTGTGTGCGAGTGAGAGCGCGGAACTATCAATGCTAGCGCAGGCGGCCGCTCGGTGCGGCGCTCGCGACGATGTACGGGGCAAAAATGTACCGTGACACACTATCGTACATCGGACCGTACATCGGACCGATCTTTTCTTTGATCTTTCGCCAAAAAACCGCCTCCAGAGCGCTCGTCTCCCTGCTCGGCCTGATGTCTTGTTCGGCGTCTTGATCGGTGTACGGACTCGTGACACACTATCGAACATCCTCCCTTCGACCTCCCTTCTCCCTTCTCCCTGCTCGGTTCGGGGTCTTGTTCGGGGAAAAGATCGATAGTGTGTCACTGTCTTTAATCTGGCACATTGCTGTAGCTCACTGTTTATAGCCTACCTGGCCGCTGCATCCTGCCATCGCACTCCAGTCTCCAGTCAGTCTCCGCCACGTCATGTACCGCTGCTGTCTTCATTTACTTTCGATTGAGCGTTTTGGATATCATTTTAAATCTAATAACGGATTATGAGCAATCCTGTTGACAATGACTAGTGTTATTGACATGTTTATGAGTCGTAGGGGGTTCCTTTGGGTTTCCTTTTGGCCTGTAACACATAATTTTCCAGTAGTCTATGATCCTGATCAACTCTTTTTTTACATTTAAACTTTCGACTAAATCGACCATAAATCACCGACCTTGTGAATTAACAATGTACGGTATTGTCATGTCGATGAGTTGTAAGTTTACACTTGAGGATCTCTCTCTATTTTCCCGTAAAATTAAAATTTTCAATGTTATAGGCTACAAACGTGATCAATAGCTTTATCTTGGAGAGTACCAAAATACCGAAAATGATTTATTTTTACGGTTTTTTGCAAAATCTTTTTAATGTTCTTCTTTGCGATTTTTTTTTATTTAAGGCTGAAATTGTTACTGGTAATCGTAACAAGACGACAATTTTCCATAACTTCTGTTAAGCACGTACACTCATTACATACTGTGTGATGCATCTACTTTCAAGCAGCATACTTTCAAATACTGTATTGTTGAAAATGTTTGAATAATTGCACAGATATTTAGACACGTTTATCCATGCCCACTGGCTAGCGGGCCTCGATGGGCCAACGTTCGCCGAACAATGACCGGATTTGGAAGTCGGTTGGCTTCTGTCGTGTCGTGACGATCATTTGGGCGTTCTTGGAACTCCGTCAAAGACAGCAGAACAGGACTTTGCATGCGGCATTTACCCGCCAATCAGTAGTCCGTTGCAGTATTTAAGTGACAGAGTGTCAATGAATTGCCACGAAGGTATTTGGCGGTGATCCATCAATGGGAAGGGTTGGCTGTTGAATTTCGATCACGAGTGAAGAACTGAGATGTTTAGAGGTTTTATTCCAAAGGATGCGTTGCTTATTCGACTATTTAATTAACGAGTTGGGGTAAGAATCGTACATGGTAGACCACTATCAAATAGATTAGACTAAACTACAGGTTTGATAATTTGTTGTTTTAAAGAAATTGTTTTCCGGTTCTGTGAGAGAATATTGCTACATTGTCAACATTTTCTCCAATAGGCAGATGGTCCAAGGCCAGATAGGATCTTGGGAAAGGATGGACGAGGGAACAAACAATGTTGGTACTGTATCTTGATGTAAAACTGTCCACATAGTGAAAGTTCCAACATCAACCCAAATAAATTTTGTTATGGTTGAAACAATTGGTGATAGTAGCTTATGTATAATATTTGGTACGCAGTGAATAGTATTTACAATTTTGTAAGAGCCACGCCGAGTTATTCTTGTCTGTAAATACAATTCTCCGGGTTGACAGTTTTTCAGTTGCTCAAAATTCCCGCTTTTGTCCTTTGCTTGACAAAGTTTTGCCCTATGATATGTGTTCAGTTACCAAATTAAAGGTGCGTTATTAAGAGGATTTGAGAGCACAATTGCCAAATTTTTAGATCATATTTTTTCATGTATTTATATCCAATAAGGTTATTTCTATCATAAATCCTAGAACTCTCATGGAAATGCTCGTGATTGCAAGTTTCGACCGAATACTCACCACACAAGTGTCAATGACGTCTGGACACTGGACGTCTCTAGTACGAGTGACATCGATCCTGTAGTATCGCCGTCACCGGTCCGGACCGACGCCCGACATACGTTTACGTCCAAAACACGTTCTGAGATGAAACTGGTCGCGCACAGCTTTGTGCGTTTTTTGCCCGCCTCTTGTTGGACATTCAATTAACATTAACCGGGCCGCCGAACCGCCGGAAGATCCAACCGGTTTCCATTCATCTGCTCGCAATTTACCCTTCCAATCTCGTCTATGATGGATTCGTCTAGTTGCACCTCTTGCGTTATTCACAAAGACGATCTTGTCTGCCCATTTGTCTGGGATTTTGCGTAAAATGCTGTTAAGGCTAAAGACTGGTAATTTTTGTTTGGGTATTCACAAATTTGTGTTTTGAGGACGTGTTCAAAGGCTTAGCAAATTGTAGTTGTGTTACTATTAATGAATGTGATTGCGTCCTCACATGTAATTATTTGATACTTTAAAAACTTACTTAGGGTACCTTGTAAACACTAGTTAAACCAACTAGTGTTTCTAAGCATGAGCTATTTCTCCATTAGCTGCTCGCGCTGTTGCACTGCAAGCATAGTAATCCTCTGTTTACCACTGATAGGCCATGAAGTGTCTGTACGCTACGTGTAATACAAAACATTTCCACTGTAACTGCCCTATATCGATTTAATCGACCAGATCCCAACCGGCTACCTGTTAATCCATAAGCATGAGTTACCGACTGGTTTTCTATTCGCCGCGCGATGAGTTATTTATGCTGTTAGTTGCACAAGTGACATTATCATATCTTCTGTCACTTGACTTACTGTCTGTTCGGATTTGTAACGGCCTTGTTCTGTTTCAGGGTACCTTCTCTCTGATCGTGGAAGCGTGGCATGACAACAACGACAACACCACTGGTGAGTTCACCTCTGTTTATAACTAGGTTAATCGTTCTAGTTGTAAGTTTAAACGCGATTGTTGTAGATTTCAATGTCTGTCTATTTATGGAGTAGGATTCTCATTTTAAAGAATTTTTTTGTTAAAAGTTAATAACATACTACTATGACGTGTTAATTGAATGTTATCAACAGTAACTGTGTGATTGTTAATTGATGCACTTCCGCTCGAACATTTTATGTATAGAGTAGGCTTAATCTACAGGCCAACACCTGAGGTTGTATGTTTACATTGTATTGTATCAAATTTCAATGTCAAACTCAAATTTCCAATTGACATTCGGTTGACACCTAGATAACGGCCCAAGCCACCTTCCTAGTACCCCAGTCTCCAGGGTTGCGGAATTCCCCTGAACGCCCGGCGGAATATCCAGCGGGCATTACCTCAGTATTGTCCACACACATGTGCCAAAACACTGACCGGGACGTCTCACATGTGCGCCCCAGCTGGTCTTCTTCCGGCCTGGGCCTAGGCCTACTTCCTGGGAACCGAAATCCGAGCCTTCGGCCAGGTGTCGGCGCGCAGATTTGAACCCGACTGTACCTCCTCGGATCCTCATGTTTCCACCGTAATAACAGAGACAATAGCTCACGACGCGATGGTTACGGCTATTAATAAAATGGGCGGGCCGTGCTGACCGTATATTTACGGTAGAACCTCGCGTCGCACCCTAGGAGGATTAAACATTAAGGAGAGGGCACGCAAATAGGAATACACGTGTTGCGGTGAAGCCAGCTTTAGCAGAACACTAGAGGGGCACGCGGAGCCGTAGAGTGGCAAAAAGCCTCGGCTATAACATGGGAGAGATAGGGAAAAACGCGACGCGCGCTGTTTCGAATTAAAATTGCCGCTAAACTAAAACACCTGTGTTATTCACCGATGGCATTCTTAAAGTAAATTAAATTTGCTATCGAACAGTGTCAATCATTCCTATAAAAAATATTATTTATTATTTATTATTGAAGATCAAAGTTGAAAGAATTGACCTGGACTTTGAACATATGATTACTTTAATTACGTTTTTGAAAAAAATATGATGTATCTACACAAATTAACAATTTATTCGTGTTCCTTAAGAGTTTCTCGAAATAAAAAATATATATTTACCTATATTTAAAAGTGGTATTTAGAAAAATAATTACAATAAAGTTTTTTTTTATTTTTCCAGTTTATAAAACAATCTTACTAATAATAGGTTAAAATGAAAATTTTAATTCGGGTGATGAAATACATTTTAAATTTGCATTTTTCATAGTTTTTTTCGATTTGTTAATATAATTTTTTACTAGTTTTAAGTCATTTATGTGCTAGGCAGGTGATTTTAAATAGCCAAAGTTAAGAAAAAATGCAAAGCCGCTCTAACTTTTTTTTACACCAACTTTCGTTACAATTAAATTACAATCATAAAAAGTAAAACAATTTCTTGGCAATCAAATTCTTGATTTTTTAAATATCATATTGAACTATATTTGATCTGTTTACCTAAAGAAACTTCGAGTAAAAAGTGTGAATGTTCAACAATCATCACGTCTTCTGACCGCCAAAGTGCGTTTATCATTATTTTAAACGATTAAAACTTATTTTATTTCTCTTTATGAAAATGTTCAAATACACATACAGTACTACTCATGATTTGAGTTTTAATTTATGAACAGTAAAATCCATTGGTGATATGGCGGGATTTGAACCCGGGACCCCATGAACCGGAGTCCCGCGCTCTGGTTAGAGTATTATAAATAATACACAATACAAGTATGGCAAAAAATAAAAACAAAGACAACGAATTCCAAAAAATAAGTCATCCTTGTGTAAATTAATTACTCACCTTTGAACGTACCGTACTATTGGTTCATATTTGACTTTCCTCTTAATAGGTTCCTAATATTACGGTTAGAATTTAACTTTTTAATTTTCGTAGGATGATGAAGTCTAATTTTTAAATAGTTAATTGATATTTCTGTTACCAAATCTTCCAGTAACGCATACAACGCAGTATGAGAGGGGGCGGGAGAGTAGCGCTGCCTCCCCCCCTCCCCAGTACGCTGGCTTCAACGAAACTACAGCGTGTCCTCTCCTTAATGTTTAATCCTCCTAGGTCGCACCCGAGTTTCCCACTGCATTGTTTTTGTGTTGGACGCGCCGACTTGGAACGCCGCCCAACCTCCCGGAAAATAGGGTTAGTGACAAAAAGCCCCGCGGTGATGGTAATGCGATGGACTGCAGTAATTGACTGTCGTTCAGCAGCCGATGCTGTCTCTGGGCACGCCACTGTAGTGTTGTCTTTGCGACGTATTGTTCCTGGCAGTCAGTGATTTCCTCGGTCAACATTCTAACGGGGTTTGTGGTAAAATTTTTTCTGCCAGCTGATGTTTTAGCGAACTTTTACACTTGCCTTTTGGTTGATAGGTACTGAATTTCGCATTCGCATCCTTTTGATTTCCACGCGTCAATTTATCCAATTATTGTCGTTTGAATTCCACAACCCCACAACTCCTAGAACAGCGGTTTCTCCGTAGCCACCTTTTCACTCCCCGATCACGATGACGGATGAAAGTCAGCAAAGGTCGCGCGCTAGACGTGGCCGGCGCCGTGTCCGTTTCTTGTTCGCGAAGTATTTTAATTAAAGTTCGCAGCCCGGATTAATGGACACTTTGCGATCAATAATGCATCAAGTGACTCTAGCCAAGCCAGAGTCTAGACAGAGTCAGCCGAGCATAACCGACTTGCACTGTAGCATTCCTCAATCGCAATCTTCTTTGTCCCTCCTCTTCATTCTCGGAGTTTGCCGTGTATTCGCGTTCAATCGGGATGCTCTAGTTCGTGTAAATGGATGTTAATAATGTATAGACGAGCTCAGAAAGTTTCTCGTAGTTTAGAGTCGAAAGTTTCTTACTTTGATCTGGGGTTTCATAATTGTTGTTGACAAGTATCCTTGAACAATATTTACCATGCAAAACGTCTTTATCAATGTTGAGTTCTATCTGTGTAAATGTTTTCATTATGTAATTCTTCGTAATTAATATCGAATAAACAGTCCAATATTTCTAAATATAATCCAAAGTGTTTTTTTTTATAGGTAGTCAGATATATTGAACTGTGTTTCTTAAGGATTACACACAGTACTAGCAAAAGCGACGGGTCTCAGGCCGATAAAACTTGTCACTTGATTTTCAATGCAAGGCAGTTACCGGTGTTTGCAAATCCGCTCATCTACATACCAATGTCTGATCAATATCATATCTCTAATGTTTAATCTACGGCGATCTAAGCCTAATGGCATTTAAACGCTCCAAGTTCCACCCTCTTGTCGCATCTCCAATGTTATTATCGGTTTAAATATCCCGGAGAGCTGAAGATCCAGAGTCAGAACAGGTCTGAGTGCACCTGCAGACGTGGGTACCGGACCATAGGTACATCAGCGTCCTCTCACTGTAGACCACCTCTGTCAATGGGCGAGGTACAGTCTGGTCCTCTCACTGGCAATGCTCAGTTTAACGCGCACCGACTGTACCTATAATCCCGTCGACGCAACTTGTTCCGTGGGAATCGATGGATTATCATATACAGTACAAAGTACAACGGATCCTCCGCACAGATACTATTTTTTTCCAAATTATGGATTTAGTTACTATGTTTTATGCAAACTTCGGTGAATAAACTTGTGTGCAAATTTTGCAGAAAAACCACAACTTGTTAACTAGTTTTTAGTTTGACTTTACTTCAGTTTTTTTTCAATCAAGTTAAGAAGTTAACATTTTTAAACTACTTAAATTAATCCGTATTCTTTTTTGTTACACTTATTTATAAGTTACTTGTTTTCCATGCCCATTCCCATTCATTTGATTCTTTTGTGCGACAGTTCAAAAATAAATACTGTATACCGTTATCGGTTAACACATTCGCACAGTTCGATGTTGATATTCTGTAGGCAGGCGCAGGCAGGTCTGAACCTGAAGCATGAAGCCTCATAAAGCGTGCGGTGACGTCACGACTCTCTCACGATCACGACGCCGTGGAGGGGGCTTCACCTTGACTCTGGCACGTCGGAATCCTCGCCGAATCTCTTATATTGTTCTGTTTTTGTCATTCCCCGTTCTCGTTCTCATTCCCATGTTGGTTTCATCTAATAAAACACTCGGTAGTTATAACCCCGACCTCACAGGCGCGGATCCACGCGGCGCGGCTGTTATTACACCCGTAATTATCCCATGCTCTTTGCTAAGTGCCGGGTTTTAGTACCGACAATTAATGATCTTTTGGACTTCTTTGTCCTTGCGGACGATGACGAGTTTTATTGAGGATCGATTAAAAGCTAATGAAGATATTTCGAAACGTTTAGATGTGGTCGATTAAGTTCCTGATATGTTTAATAGCACGTAGCAACGATTAATAGGCAATTGCTTCTGGTTTCTTCGGGATCATAAAACAATTGAATTTTTTAAACACATCTCTTTGCAGAATGCAGTAAAAGTAACTAATGCATCACAACCCCAACCCCTTCGACCCAGATTTAACTTTGTAAACTCTAAAGCAACATATTCTGTGTTACACGTTTCCCATAGTAGGCCTAATAAATATTCCGCCAAGGCCAACTGAATATTTTCAGTCTTGTGTTGAACCTGTAAGCTATCTTTTAACTTACCTCAACCCTTACCAACATGTTGCCGAAATATGACACGGTTGTCCCATACCACTCATTATTATTAGACCCTGCTGACCCCATCTGTTGTTGCAGGAGGCAGCAAGACCCTGATCTCCAGGCTGACGACTCAGCAGTGGCTGGACGCTGGAGCTGAATGGCACGAGGAAGAGGACAGATCATCACATTCGTCACTCAGCTACGAGTACAGAGTCCTGTGCGACGAGCATTACTACGGCTCTGGCTGTGCTAACCTTTGCCGCCCCAGGAACGACCAGTTCGGCCACTACACCTGCTCCCCCCAGGGCCACAGGGTGTGCACCGAGGGTTGGCAAGGCGACTACTGCACAAAACGTGAGTCTCCACTGTGATTCCATGTAGTTAGTAAACGTTTAGTCTATGATACCAAAGATTAAAGAAGGGGTTTTACTTGTACATTGGGATCCTCATCAAGCCTTTGACAATAAGTTCTTAAGACCCTTTGACTCAAAGACTTATTTTGGCAATTCTTTTGGGCTTGGTGATTGGCAAACTATTCGGGAGGATTGGGCACAACCAAGTTTTTAAATCCAGTATGAGGCACATTGGCTTTTCTTATAGATTTGGTGAGGCAGTAGCAGATCTATCAAAAATAACAATTTAGTGATCATAGCTCCAAATTAACAAAGTTCCGCCAACAAAGGCCTGGCGCATTATCGCCATTCTCAAGCTCAAACACTTGCACGTCTCATCTTGTTAACCTGGTTGTAAATCATGCAAGCGCATACAGGATATTTTCCACGTCTGATAGGTTCCCACGGGCGAAGGCCAGGAAACCGTCAGCTCTTATGGTAGTGAAGCAGGCGAGCGCAGGAAGTCGATTAATAGTTCGTGATCTACCTCGACCCCGGCGCGGCCTGACGTAGGTGTCAAGTCTAGAGAGGAGAAAGAACGATAGTCTAAATCGTTCTACAAATATTTTGCGAAAACATTAAACAGTAATTAAAAGTGTACGATTTGCACACCTTTGTTTATCTTGACAAAACCAAGCTTCTTCAAGTCGGCTGACAAACAAACAGCGGCACGCAAGGCAGACCATTAGCATGACAGTGGGCGATCGTGCGCCTCTTGTATGAAGAGATTAACGCCCGGTAAACAAAAACTGTTGCAGCTCTTGTCACGAACGGCCACCAGACACCGCTTGTGGCTATCTCTTGCTTGTCAGCACTCGTTTAAACGTTGCAAAAACTTGTTGAACTATTTGTCTTTAAAAGTTTAGAAATTATTGAAGCGTTTAGCTCTAGTGCAGATTGTTGGATGGCTGTATTAATTGGTAGTTTTCAGTGCTAAAATACTCCCAATAATTGTTTGTTGGTTCTGTTGTTTATACTTTGCTCGCTAGAAATTATTCACGACTTCTTCGGTCAAAAAATAAACTTTATGACGATAAAAACATTGTGTTGACGTTTAAAATTATTGATGTATATATAAATAAATGTACTCGAATTGTAGGGGTTATCGCTAGGATATTAAATTATTTCTGATATAAGCAATTTGTATTCATATTTTCAATGGAAAAGTCTACGTATACAGTCTTATTTACGCAAAAATTAAATACCCAAAATTCACTAATATTTTTTAAATGGCCGCAGGGACGCCGTTGACGGGTCCCGCCAAATACTGGCTTGGTAACTTGGCGTCACCAACAACAATGGGATTAAAAGGCAGCATGTAGGGAGGGAAGGCAGCTGGCGCTGACGGGGACAGCTGCCGAAGTACAGCTGCATACCCTAGAGGCGGGGGGAGGGTATTGCATTGGGGAGTGTATTGTGCATGTGTGTGTGACGTAACTAGTGTACTAATGTATGTGTTTGTGTTGCAGCCAAATGTGCGCCAGGGTGTGATGAACAGCACGGACACTGCAACAAGCCCAACGAGTGCATGTAAGTGTCACATTTAGGAAATCTATTTACTGTAATTTAATTTGGAAAATCACAAAGAAACATCTAACGAATTTAAATCAAGTAACATCAACATAGTACTTTTCCCAAGATACGAATACGTCATCACGGGCTTGTTGACTGGCGAGGAACTTGGCAAGTTCTGTGGGAACTCTGACAGTGGCATAGCCTCATGCACGAGTGTCGCCTGCCAATGCCAATGGCCCACTTTCTCATCCACCTCTCATCCTCTTCCTCAACTACTCGATTTGCTTGCCCTTTTGTTTATTTCCCATCATGGTTTCGTCGGTTTTGTAGTCAATAACTAACTATTCTTCTGAAGTTTTTGTCACTTGCCACTTATTGTTTCCAAATCTCTCATAACAAGAGTGATTTATGCATTTGGGCAAATCTATAGCAAAACACGCCTTTGTCATACTTTACCTTATTTGCGTTAGTGACACAACTTTGTATGGTATATTTTACTCTTTATAGAAACCACAACATTGCACTTTTTAACTGTCATCCTGGACTTACAAGTTAATTTTCTTCCTAGATGTCACAATGGCTGGAAGGGTCCACTCTGCAACCAGTGTGAGAGGTATCCCGGGTGTCTACACGGAACTTGCCAGAAACCTTGGGACTGTCTGTGTGAGGAAGGATGGGGAGGGTTGTTCTGCAACCAGGACCTCAACTACTGCACCAACCACAAGCCTTGCAGACATGGAGGCACCTGCTTCAACACTGGCCAAGGATCCTACACCTGCAACTGTCCTCCAGGCTTCACTGGCACTGACTGCGAGAAGGAGATTGACGACTGTGCCCATCAGCCCTGCATGAATGGAGGAACTTGCAAGGTAATTAGTAGTTTATTTCTAAAATCAGTCTATATTTAGTTAGAAATCATTGATTTTTCATGGGCTTTTCCAACATAAACTTGAAATACCTACCTATAGAAAAGAAGATTTACTCTTAAAAATTTTTCTATTTGATATAGTTTTCTGATCAATCCTAATGAATGTGTTTTTGCAGGACACTGGATCCGGCTACACCTGCGAGTGTCCAAAAAACTGGCACGGAACCCACTGTGAGACATCCACACAGACCTGTGATGACAAGCCCTGCCAAAATGGTGCAAGATGTGAGGACACTGCCACCGGTTACCACTGCCACTGCGTTCCTGGCTACACCGGCATCGACTGCCACCATCAGATAGATGACTGCGCCTCCAACCCTTGCCGCAACGGAGCCACCTGCCGGGATAAGATCAATGGCTACGACTGCACTTGTCCTTCAGGCTTCAGAGGGAAGAATTGCGAGGTGAACATAGACGACTGCAATGGAAACCCTTGTATGAATGGTGGCACTTGTATCGACCTAGTGAACACTTATAGATGCCAGTGCGTTCCGGGGTTCCTCGGAAATCTATGTGAGAAGAAAGTGGACTATTGCCTTGCCAAGCCTTGTGCAAACGGTGGGAAATGCATGAACTTGGTGAATGACTACCGTTGCACGTGCAAACCTGGCTTCACCGGTAAAGACTGCAGTATAGACATCGACGAGTGCTCTTCCAACCCATGTCACAACGGAGGTTTGTGTGTCAACCGGGTAAACGGGTACCAGTGCGACTGCCCCGACGGGTGGACCGGGAAGGCTTGTCAAGACGAAGAGACATCCAGCATCGGAAACATTTCGAGGCACATTTCCCAACCAATAGATTCGGGGTTGACCACAGAACATGTTGTAGTGATCGCGACTCTCTCTACAGCTGTTCCTGTCCTTGTCATTATCGCTGCGGTCGTTGTCGTCTGTATGAAGCAGAGGAGAAAGCGAGAACAACAGAGAGCGGACGATGAGGCGAGAATGCAGAACGAACAGAACGCCGTCCACAGCACCGTGGCCAAGAGAGGAGACACACATATGATCAAGAACACTTGGGGTCCATGTGTGAAAGACGGGGGAGGGGGAGGACTACCTAGTGAGAACTTGTGTTTCGCCAAACCTGTGGCTGTGGACAATACTCCAGTGTATACTCTGCACAGGAGCAGATCACACAAACAGTTAAACACAGATGCGTCGGTGCACAGACACAGCAACCGAGCGTCTTGCAAGGATCTGGACAACCTCGCCAGGTCTACGCAACAAGACAAGAGGATATCCGTCCTCTCTGTCGACTCATCACTCTGCAATGCAAGGTAAATTTTATATTCAAATATTAAATTTTTTTTCAAATCTTTCTAATGAAGTTTTTTTTTAATTTCAACCAAATACATATCTCTATACCAAATATTAAAAAACTTATGTATTGAACTCTTTTGATATTGTAACAAAAATTATATAAAAAATAATAGTATAAGTAGTAAAAAAAAAACAAAAAAAAACTGACTAAATATAGTTTTAAATCATTAAAATAGCAAAAACCCGAGCAGTTCAAAATTAAAATTTGTTTTGCAATAAATATTGAGAAATAAAATTTAGGTAAGTACGCCACCGGCTAAAGTTTTTAATTTCTTTTCAAACTAAATATTTTAATCATAAAATAATAGAAATTTACAATCTTCGGCCCACTTGATACTGTTATTCAATATTTTCTTTGCAAACTATAGATTGTTTATAGGCCTACTTATTTGTTATTGTTGATTTTCTAATTAAATTGGTTTTTTTGTTGTTGCAGTGATTCCTCGCTACTGAAGCGACCACATGACAAAGACACCAGTAGTGGGGTGATGTCGCCCTCGAGTAGTGTCTACGTCATTGACGAACACTTCCCTCACCATCCTGACACGCTGCTAGCGACTGAAGTCTAGCTGCTCCGTTCTTATCTTAGAGACTTTATTATTTATTTAATTGATCGGAACTGACTGAAGACGACCCTAGCGGCTGTCGTGTGATATGTATGTGTGCATCGTCTATAATGTACATAATATTTATTTTGTGATCGTTACAAAACTAAGTCAAATACGGACAAAAGATATAAATCGCTCAGTTTTTTTGGGCTGACGACTGATTTTTACATTATCTTGCATGTCGTTTTACGTAATTGAATCCGTAAGGGAGGGTAGGGGAAGATTTCTCGAGAAATCTTAATTTATTGCGATGAAAATGGTTTTGTTTTGACAAACAAATCGATATAATGTTCCTGTTATTATTATGCTAAGTCATGGTGGTTTGGGACGGCCGCATTGGTCAGTTAAGTAACTGGCGACTGCGACGCCCTAAACCTACCTTTGTTGTCATTTTGTACTTAACGTTATCAGCTAGTTTAAATGTAAAGACTTTAACATTTTGTATATTCTGTATATTTTCTAGTGTATTTATCTTGTATATATTGTCGATAGTTTTCGTATGACAATATTGTTCCTGATACTGCTGGTATTTACCATTGTTTCATCGGCTCTCTAATCTTGTTTTGCATTATTGTAGATTTGAGTTTAATGAGATTAACTAGTCTTAAAAGTTTGAAAGAAAATGGAATTTTCAAGGCCTCTGAAAGCTGGTTGACCAATTGATTAGTTTCTTAGAACAGCTTTCAAGCATTTTCAAATGGATACCCTCTCTTTATATTGTCACAGGAAAATAAAAAAAAAAACTTAGCAACAACATTTTTCTTTTATTTTTCCAAATTTTTTGGACAGGTCAAAGAAAATTGATTGTTGAATGAATACAAAATATTGCAAATGTTGATGAAAAAACTATAAGTACTTAAAATATTTTTGAAATAAAACTAATGCTTTCTAGGTTTAGTTTTATTTTGAATTATATTTTTAGTCTTTCTTATTTGCAATTTAATGTAAAAAAAATCCATGACATGTTTTCATGAGATTAAATTAAGTTTAACATTTGAAATTCTATATTTAAACTTTTCAAGATGACTTAAATGCTGGTAATTTGAAAACTTAGTGGTTAGCTTAATACTGACATAAGCATTATTTATTAACTGAAAATCTGAATAGTTCTTGACATAATTTACATTTGATTTTATAGTTTACATTGAAAATAAAATGTGATATCTGTAGTTGAGGAATATTTTTAAGACTTGGTTATATTTAACCTTTCATTACCAAGCTATTGATCTCTTTTCAAATTACCAGAAACGATTCTAACTCTACAATTAACCTTTATTATAAGTTTGAAGCATCTTTATTTTTCACCTTTCTGAAGTTGATATCCAGTTGTAAGAAAAAACCTTTAATTTGTAAAAGGATAGGTAAATTTTGTTTTGTTTTTCTAAATATTATTAATTTTATATTCCAACTATTTTGAGAGATAACCGAAAAAAAGTGTTTTTGAGGAAACCGTTCTTCAAGGTAATTTTTGTAAAACGGTGACGAAGTATTGGTATGGTATCAATGTTATTTATTAATCTTTATTGTTTTGTATGTAAGGTATGTTCGAAATTATTGTTAATTTATTTAATATTCCTTTTTGACTTTATTTTTATGGTTTGTGACATAAATTATACAATTCTGTCCAAAGCAATTTATATAATCATGTATAAATGTATAAAATACATTCAGTGATGTAAAAATAGGTTTAATAAAATTTACATGAGCAAATAATATTTGTGTACATCTTTAGTCAACCCCTTCTTAAGAGAAAAAAAATATATAGTTTAAGTTCCATAAATCAAAGTAAAGTAAAATTTGTTTCTTACTTAATAAAGATAACTATTTTGAAGGGCCATTTTTTGTTTCATGAAACTGATAAAATATTCAATTTTATAGTGAGGAATAAAAAACATTTTCAATGATTTTTTGTTATTAGAGGGCCTTAAGGTGCCTGAAATCACAGAAAACATACTACTATAACCCAGAATGCCAACCGCATGGTAAAAACTATTAAGTGTTTTGAGAGAGCTTTGCCTGTCAATCCGTAGGCAGCGCCACCAGCGTTGCCATGCACTCAGTATAACAACGCTGGTGGCGCTGCCTACGGATTGACAGGCAAAGCTCTCTCAAAACACTTAATGCTTTTTACCATGCGGTTGGCATTCTGGGTTATAGTAGTATGTTTTCTGTGCTGAAATGGACCTAAAAATTCTGTTTTATAATCTACAATAAAACTACTTCACTAATTTACGTAGAACTCAACTTTATAATTCACAACAAGAACAATCAACCTTTACAAGTCAAAAAAGCCAACCACTGTGGAAGTTTAATGAAACATATTTTCTCACAGGTATTTGGTTATCAGTTGATAATTGTTATCAAACTTGGGTCAATCGCTTATCAGCCACCAACCTCTGATAAAGCTACACAGCCTGTTGGATCAGGTCAACAATGGACTTGCTCAACCATATCAAGTTAACTTTTGGCTCATAACAATGTGTGTTTGTAGAAGGATAGGAATTAAATAATATTAATATATTTGATTATTAAATTTACAAAATCGTGTTTCTCGAAGTACAATTCATTATTTATTGGTATCATGATTTTGAGCTACAATATAGCATTAATTGAAATATTGCAGTTAGTAAAGCTCAGTGTTGCAGTAACAATGCGTAGTTAGTCGGTGGCTCAGTCGGTAGCGTCGCGGACTTCGACTGCATCGATGTAGTTTCTACTCATTGTATATTTATTTGCAATCATGTACCAAGTCATTTATTCGAAATTCAATAAATTTCAAGCGACCATTTTGCGCTAAAGAAATAAATTATAGCCTTGAAATTCTAATTTACACGAATATAACTCACTATAATGTTGCGCAGGTGTCGCTTTTGTTCCGCGGTTGAAGGCTAATTTCTTCACATAACTTTTGTTCCGGGGTCAGAAGGTAGATTCGGGGCCGCCTGAAAAATCGCTTTTGATCCGCGAAAGAGTGGGATGCACTCTCCCTCCTCCCAAATCCACTCTTTTGATCTCATCATAATTCTTTCTTTCTTAAGTTAGGTAAAATTATTAAAATTATTAATATTTTTGTTAAGGAGAAATTGATAATTTAACGAGTTTAAAGCCCACATGAAAGGAAGTATAAGGATGAGGGTGAAAGAAGATTTGTGGGGGGGGGGAGTACAGCCCCCTCTATCGCGGAACAAGAGATATGTCCGCGGAACAAAAGCGATGTTTCGACCGGCACCGAAGTCTACCTGCTGACACCGGAGCAAAAGTGATGTGAAGAAATTAGCCTTCAACCGCGAAACAAAAGTGATAAAGCCATTGTTGCCACGACCCAAAACTAATACCTAAAATGAAAAAGTAAGCAAACCAAACATAATTATCTAGTCAACAAAACTTGTACAACAAATCATTGAGAGAAGAGTCCCAACACATGCCCAGCTCAACTTGTCCCTTTTACGAGGTGCAATTTTCATCTGTCAAGGGAGAATGGAGGTAATCGGGGAAATCTGGTGATGATGGGCGGAGTGTGAACAATGAGGAAGCAACAGGAGGGAATTTACGAGGATTCATTAGAGAGTAGGATTGAAACGGAGAAAGGATTGTAGGATCAGCCTAGAGGAGCCTGTAGCCACGACTGGAGTCGTCGGAATGTAGGCTAGCATAGCTGTCAGCTGAGCTGCTGATAAAGTGGTTACTGTTTAGGCTTGGTTTCCCACGCTCCTGCAATCGTAGTTCAGGTTCTACTTGTTTATTCTGTGATTGAACAAAATTGTGATTTTTGTGTACAGGGGTTAAAATTGTAAGTCACAATACAATGTTTTGCAACTACAAAATATGATAATCAATTGGTAGTCTACAATTAAATTAATTACTCGCTTAGTAAGAAAAGAGATATACCATACCTTTTGTCAGAATTCCTAGCTGAACATATCTGCTGTGTGTGTGAATGGAGTGAAACGATCCTCGGGGATTTGTCACTAACTGGTCTGTTTCTTAAAAACTTGTATCTTCAAATGTGTATGTTTAAATAACATTTAAATAATCCACTTAAAACGAGTTAATAAAAATATTTAGATAAATTTGAAGTAGTAAAATACAGTAATACTTAAGAAAAACTAAAAGACCTACCAATGATTTGATATTAATATAGTAGTTGATTTGAAAAAAAAAATATATGCAAACTGTAGGCTATACAGTATACATACTTCTGTATTATCATTGGACCCAAACACAATCAGTGTGTGTTTGACTGCGTACAGATGACATGATAATTAAAAATAGGTAATTGTCAACCTTGAATACAAAGTATTTTTGCACATAATGCAGTACAGTATTTAGTTAACAACTTATTGTAATCACGATTCTCGAATCTGGTTCTATTGTAGCCTATACGAGTTTGCTGCAAATCCGATTTTTCCGAACGTACATGTTTACATAGACTACAGGTTGATAGTATAACTGTTTAGAAGATACGGGTATTTTCAAGAAGATGGCTACTACTTTTAACATTCGCCCTTTAAAAATGAAGGTGATGTAGGACCTATATGAGGATACGTTAAGAAGAGGTTACTTTAGGAACATACACGTCAAAAACAAGTTTTCATTTAAATACACCAAATTTGTGAAATTACTAAACAAATTTATATTTACAAATTTATTTTTTATATTTAAAAAAGTTTATTCACTAACGCCATACTTGAGACCACAGCAACATTCCCTGGAGAAGCGAAGGGACTTCTCGCGTCTTTTCGGCGACCGGACATAGTAAAATCGAACGGTTTCTCACAAAACAAGTTTTGCCGGGTCTCAAATCGATGACTAATTAAAAGAATGATTTCTCCCGCCAGACCGGATGAGCGCTTCCCGCCAATCTGTCAGAGATCAGCTGATCCGGACAAGGGTTACCAACTTAATAGCACCAAGAGGAGTAAACGGTTGAACCATAACAAGATGCAGGTTAAGTAGAACTTCTTAATAACAAGATAAGTTTTATATCTATTTAGTTTATGTTTGGTAAACATTAACTGTCTTTACATTAGGTGTCTTTAGGTGGCAATGTTGTAAAATCTGAAGGCTATTTTATGCGTTTGATTCTTGTTTCGTGACGTCTACGGGTCTACGTGTAAACGAGCCAATGTCGTCTAATTTTTTCCCACACTATATAGATTAGTCAGAACTGACCATAGCATTTTCTTTGGCAGGTCCATAATGATGATAAAGGGAGTGTATTTAAATTATGACTACTCTTTGATAGTTCAAACCTCGATATGTGATCAAAATAATAACTGTGAATTTTCTTCAATTTATAGTCGAGTCGTGTCGTTTTTATGCCCCCTTTAAGAATGTTCGACTTTGCCGAAAGATTTGGTGAACCGAATTGAACAAACAGTAGAAAATTTGTTAGAATAAAATACAATAATCAATACATAATGTTAAATTAAATATTCTTATCAGAGTTTGAAAACAATTTTAGTGTTCGGTCGATATAGTGAACATAGAGGTTTAGTAGGCCTATGCTGATCTAACCCATTTAATGGTTAAAATATTGGTGAATGAATAACATCTAATAAATCCCTTTACAATAGCGTTGGAACCTATCAACTCGTACAATAAAATAAATTAATTGCTAACTGCTCTACAGCTATAAAATAATAACTTCTAAAAAAGTGCATAAAGACTTTTACGACTACACATAGATCACACATATTAATTTAATGGTTTGTATAATATTGTCTTATAATTACTAATTCCATTTTAATAGCAGAAATGTTCGTCCTGACCAAAGTGAATATTTTTAAGGTTTCGAAAAAAACTGTGATAAAACTAAAACTAATTATGTTGTTTTGATGTTTAGGGTCAAATTAAACAATCTAGACATACAGTATAAGCAAAAAATAAATGTTGCAGTAATGATTTATTTATGATTTTTACAAATAATGTGACTTTATGTAAGTATTACAACTACAAAGGTGTAGTTTCAGTCAGTGTGGATATTATTATTACTACTACTATTATAAGCGTCCCTTACTTCGTGAAGAGTGAGTGGTACATAGAAAATAGAATATAAAAATGGAATTTACTAAGTACTCGTCATTCAATTTCACTCTCAACAATCGTTATATAACTTCACCCCTTGATGTGAATGTGTAATCTGAAAGCAATTTTGGAAATTTCCATCTATTAATTTGCCTGTCACAATGCGATCGTAGTCTTCATGCTTTCACTTAGTCTATCTGTGTTACGGGTAAAACCAAGACAACTCCCACAGTCCCACGATCCGAGTGTTGGACTTTGGATATTTAATGCAGAGTTGAGAAGTTATAAAGTTCAAACTGATCAGGATTTACGTATATTGAACTGTACTTAACCGTTTATAGGGGTTTCTAAAATCTTCATGTAAATTTCACATTACAGGGTAACATGTATTTACAGTATAAAATCATACAATTTATCTAAGTTACTTAAGTACTGAGCGAGAATTACTAAACAATTTTTTTTTTTTATATTTTGAACTTACTTATGTAATTGTGTGGATTTTTATACAAAATGTAAAGTACTGTATGGATTTTGTTTATTTCAGTATTTTTAACACCAGAGGCATTTGCATGGTTCATAACAATACTCTTGTGATCAGGTATAAGCAATGTATAGGCCTATGTATATTCGTAGTTTAGTTTAATCACACTGGGTCGGTAAAACGTCGA